GCTGGAGTGCAGTGGCGGGATCTTGGCTCACTGCAACCTCCGCCTCATGGTTTCAAGCAATTCTCCTGTCTCAGCCTCCTGAGTAGCTGGGACTACAGGCGTGCACCACCACTACTGGCTAATTTTTGTATTTTTAATGGAGACAGGTTTTTGCCATGTTGGCCAGGCTGGTCTGAAACTCCTGACCTCAGGTGATCCACCCACCTCAGCCTCCCAAAGTGCTGGGATTACAGGCATGAGCCATTGCACCCAGTCTCATACACTTATTAATTCTACAAATCTTCTTAATTCAGTGAAGTCTAAGACCATGTAAGAGACTGAGCTTTTATGATGTTTCTGATTCCTACACTTACAAGACATAAATGAAATTTGTAGATTTAGAATGATATATTGGGAAGTGCCTTGTTTGGAATCACAGGAACTGCCACACACAGGCTCTGGGTCAATGGATAATTAACTTCTGAGCCTCAGTTTACTCTCGGGAATAAACTCAATTTACCCTTAGGGATACTGTCTTAGTCTGATTTGTGCTGCTATAACAGAATACTAGAGACTGGGTAATTTTAAGTGAATAGAAATTTATGTCTGCAGGCAGGGAAGTTCAAGATCGAGGTACCAGCATCTGATGAGGGTCTTCTTGTTATGATGTCCTATAGCAGAAGGCGGAAAAGCAAGAGAGCTTGAGAAAGAGAGAGAAACAAATGGGGCGCCAAACTTGTCCTTTTAGGAGGAACCCTGTTCTGTAATAATGAACCCACTCCCACAATAATGTCGTTAATACATCTATGAGAGCTCTCATGGCCTAATCACCTCTTAAAGGTTCCACCTCTTAGTACTGTTACAATGGCAATTAAATTTCAACATGACTTTTGGAGTGGACATTCAAACCATAGCAGATACCTACCCCACAATGACTACAGGGATGTTGTGAGGCTTAAGAAATAAAGCAAACCAGCCTGGCATGGTGACTCACACCTGTAATCCCTGCACTTTGCGAGGCCAAGGCAGACAGATTACTTGAGCTCAGGAGTTCATGAGCAGCCTGAGCAACATGGTGAAACCCTGTCTACAAAAAGTATTAAAAATTAGCAGGCTGGACATGGTGGTTCATGCCTATAATCCCAGCACTTTGGGAGGCCAAGGTGGGCAGATCATGAGATCAAGAGATCGAGACCATCCTGGACAACATGGTGAAACCCCATCTCTACTAAAAATACAAAAATTTTTGTATTTGTGGTGGCACACGCCTGTAGTCCCAGCTACTTGGGAGGCCGAGGCAGGAGAATCGCTTGAACCCAGGAGGTGGAGGTGGCAATGAGCTGAGATCATGCCACTGCACTGCAGCCTGGTGACAGAGCAAGACTCTGTCTCGGAAAAAAAAAAAAAAAAAATTAGCTGGCCATGGTGGTGTTTCTGTGGTCCCTGCTACGCGGGAGACTGAGGCAGGAGAATCACTTGAGTGCCACTGCACCCCCATATAATCCTATGTGGGTTATATTAATAATACATGTAAAGGATTTAGTCTGTATTTAGCAGTATGTTATTGTTATTTTGTATATACGATAACCGAGACACGGAGTGATGATGGGACTTAACCACAGTCACATGATGCGTAAGTGGTGGTATAGCCAAGGTTCAAACCCAGAGCCTGTGCTCTCACTCATTGTTCTTTACGTTTTCCATATAGTAAAGAATTTTTCAAGGATGATTTGTCAAGAATGCTTTGACCAAGAAGGTCTTGCAGCAATAATCAGGAGTTCACTTAGTAAGATTCTGCCTTTCCTAAACTCAACTCATGGCTACTAAACCTAAAGCCAATGCTACTGGTATTCTCGATAGCTGCATCTGATTCCCAGCAAAGTCATGAGACTAAAATGCAATGCTGAGTCATCCTATATGTCCCAGGTTCTGCGTAATGTGCTTTACTTGGCAACAATTCCCTTGCTTTGCTTTAGCCAAACTGGGGGGGAAAAAAAAGCTGACATTGCACTTAAATCTCAAGTCTGAAAAAGCCTTTTTGAATTCCTATGCATCAACTGTTGTTAAAATAAGTACAAATCAAGAGAATTAAGTTTAATCCATCTGATAAATAAAGAGAGCCTTAGCCAGGGCTAGGGGTGTATCTGTTCCAGCAGTGTTCTAAGGAAGAATAAGTAATTACTGTACTCTTTGATTACTTGCTGATGCATTTAGAATAAGCCAGTGTCTGAGACAGCATTCTATGTGAGGATGGAACTTAACTGTCTTCTAAAAGTACAATGCATATTTAATCTCTTATTGGATCTTTTTTCTTTGGAAGGGACTTGTTCTCAATAATTTCTTCATTGTGCTGAGAACAATAATTTTAAGATTATGGATATGACCATGGTATCTAGGAGTTTTATTACATTTTTGGCTCTGGCAGAAGAAAATTGTGATTTAAGAAAAGTTCTCCAACTTTTGCCAATTTGGGGTCTGAAAAATATAAATATAATTAATGTAAAAAGTCTGGATAATTCTTTTAAAAATGAACCTCTTTTACTCTCAGAAGAGTTATGTGATTTATGAGGGTCATCTACATTATAAGAATTCTGTTTTGTTGTTTTTTTTTTAAGTAGAGGTGGGGGTTTCACCATCCAGGGTGGTCTCGAACTCCTGGCCTCAAGTGATCTGTCTGCCTCGGCCTCCCAAAGTGCTGGGATTACAGGCATGAGCCGCTGCGCCCTCCCAAGAAATGTTTTAAAATATGCTTTGTTTTTATAAAATTTGGGTTGGTATTGATGGATTTCATTAAGCAATATTTCAAAAATAACAATTGTTAATATTATCACTGGTCTCATCATAAATATATTAGAAAAGTCTCTAAATATTGGGAAGCTGTCAACTCATAGGGAGGATACAAGTTTTCCAAAATTCCAGTTTTCACTTGAAAACTCAAATTTTTTTCACTAGCAAACAATACTGTTCAGTTGTGTTCCTAGAAGTGACGGGAATACTTGCTTCATTTTATGAGATAAAATGATATGATGGTCTGGTTATAAGTTTAGTTTACTTCAATATTTGATGTTAATGGCCCTCAAAGCTAAAAACAATCCTGCAGAGAAGTATGGATTCAAAGGGAAAGGTTAGCTTCACTTACTAAATCAGAGTATTAATTTTTCAGTTCATTCACCAATTAAAAAGATATGTTAATTACCCTGATCTAATCACTATACAGTATATGTACTGAAACATCACTATGTACCCCATGAATATGTACAATTATTTTTCCAGTTATAAAAACAAAACAAAAAAGAAAGAGGAGCAAAAAAGGGAAATTTTTGTTTAAGTAATAAAATTATATCTTCTCTGATGTCAATAAATTACTCTTGGAAGCAATAAAAGGTTTTGCATTTTCACATTTTAAACAAATAGGTTCAAAACTAACTTTGAACATACTTAAAACCAGAGCAGATAAATTTGTTTAGCAACATTTTAAATCTTCAGATAGGAGAGTTTTATAGATGGACATACATCATTTTTGACAATAAACTCTTAGAACTATGGAAATATTTCCAATTATCTTGTGTCAGAATGCATTTTGTTTTGGAGTTTTTTTCAAAATGTGGATATATATTTTCTCACTTATTGTAAAGTGTTCCCTTTTTCTGGAAGTGAAACATTAAACATGTTTTGGTATATACATTTGTTTTATTTTGTTTCTCATTTTTATTTCCATACAACCACTATGAAACATTTTACAGTGTTTTAAAAAAAATTAAATACTATATACACCTATTATATGATCCAGCCATTTTACTCCTAGGTATTTACCTAAGAGAAATTAAAGCTTAAGTCCATACAAATACTTCTTTGTAAATGTTCATAGTCACTTTATTTGTGTTGGGCAAAAATTAGAAACAACTCAAATGTCCTTCAACAAGTAAACTGATAATGGTTTAGCCATACAGTGAAATATGTCACGGTAACAAATATCTAAGTAACAAAAAGGTATGACCTATTGATACAAATAAAGTACATATTGTAGATTCCATTTATATAAAACTCTAGAAAATGCAAACTAATCTACAACGATAGAAGGAAGATTGGTTGTCTAGGGTAGGGAAGTAGGAGCAAGGAGGGGAGAGAAGATAGCATTTCATAGGGGTATGAGAAAACTTTATATATTTACCATCAATATCATCAAGATGATCAATATATTTGTCATTTTGATTGTGTTGGTTTCATTGGTGTATACATATGTCAAACTCATCAAATTGTACAGTTTAAATAGGTGCAGTTCATTGTATGTCAATTATACCTCAATTTAAAAATGAAATGAAAAAACTACAGTGAGTTACCACTATACACCCACTAGAATGGCTAAAGTTAAAAGACTCTGCCCAGTGCTGGTGAAGGTGTGGGGCAGCTGGAACCCTCATACACTGCTGGTGAGAACGCAAAAGGGTACGATGACTTTGGAAAATAGATTGGCACTTTCTTTTTTTTTTTTTTTTTTTTTTAGATTGGCACTTTCATGAAAACTTAAAATACATTTGCCAAATATCTCAGCCATTCCACTCCTACATATTTATTTCAGAAATATGGGAACATGTCCACACAAAGACTTGTATATAAATATTCATAGCAGCTTTATTCATAATAGCCCAAACCTGGAAATAGCCCAAATGTCCATCAACAGGTCAATGGATAAACACATTTGATAGATCTATTAAATGGGATACACTATTCAACAATGAAAAGATTGATATACCAACAAGATATATAAATCTCAAAATCAATATACTTAATGAAAGTAGCCAGACCAAAAAAAAAAAAAAAGAATACATGCTGTATGATTCCGTTTATATAAAATTCTAGAAATGCAAACTAACCTATCAGAAAGCAAATCAGGAGTTACCTGGGGCTGGGGGTAGAAGGAAGGATAAAATTAAAAGGAGCAGGAGGAAACTTTTGGGGTTGATGAAATGTTCGTTGTCTTGATTTTGATAATGGTTTTATAGATATATGTCGAAACTTACCAAATGCGGAAGGTTAAGGTTGCAGTGAGCTATGATTGCGCCATTGCACTCCAGCCTGTGTGGCAGAGCAAGACCCTGTCTCAAAAACAAAAACAAACAAAAATTTAGCAAATTGTGCACTACACACACACATACATACAAACACATATGTAGTTTATTGTCATCAATTATACTTCAATAAATCTGTAAACAAACAAAAAACTGGAATATGATGGTTGCTAAATGCTATCAATGAATACTTTGGGGGAAAAATGAAAGGCTAAGAGTATTAATCATCGATTGAAGGCAAAGTGTGAAAGCTAGAAGGCCTCTTTGGCAGCAGATGCTCATCTCTTGTAGTCTGGAGGCAGAAAAAACTGAGGATCAGATTCAGCCTTTAATTCCAAGAGTAGTGAACAAGCTCTAAAATATGTGATTCTCAACTCAGGCAAGTTGGCTTCATCAAGGTCAGGGAGGGTATTGATGAGAAGGACTGTGATCTTAAGACTTGGAATGGGTCCTCTTGGTTAATATACTGAAAATCTTGAATCGCAATTCCCCTGATTCCTCTGGACTGGCACAAGCAGCCTTCTCTTCTCCCTCTCTTAAACGTTCTACCCATTTCCTGGAAGATGATACCAAGTCCTCTGCTTTGCAAGATAGATGCCACCCCCCACCCACCCACTGCGCCACCTGATACACTTTGGATGTGTGTCCCCACCCAAATCTCATATAAAAAATCCCCAGCGTTGGAGGTAGGCCATGATCAGAGGTGACTGGATCATGGTGGCAGATTTCTCATGAATGGCTTAGCACCATCGTCTTGGTGCTGTCATCATAATAGTGAGTGAGTTCTTGTGAGATCTGGTCGTTTAAAAGCACCTCCCCCTCATTCTCTTGCTCCTGCTCTGGCCATGTGATATGCCTGCTCCCCCTGCACCTTCTGCCATGGTTGTAAGTTTCCTGAGGCCTTCCCAGAAGCCAAGCACTCGTTAGCATTGTGCTTCCTGTACAGCCTGCAGAAATGTGAGCCAATTAAACCTCTTTTCTTTATTAATTACCTAATCGCAGGTATTTCTTTATGGCAACGTGAGAACAGAGTAATGCAACTCCCACCTCATATTCTGGCTACCCAATAATAAATTAGGATCAATCATGATATAACACAGCTTGGGGCTGCTGGGCCTGTTATGGAGGAAAAGGTGCTGCAGGTCCTAGTTAGGATATACTGGCAGGAGCTGAGAAAATACACATGAGACTGGAACATGAAAATGCAGTCAAGGAGAATAATGTTGGATAAGGGAGAGTATATCGACATAGTGATGGTTCATTCTCCTGTCATATTACATTCAACATCTTGGGTAACAACTGGTTCATAAAATTTCTACAAATGTAACAATCTTGTGAGAGTTGATGAGAACAAATCCATCTTGTGAGAGCTGGTTCTAGACACCACTGGCTAAGGCTGATGGTTGATGTTGGTACCAAACTACGCTACCTGATGGCAATGAGAATAACAGGATCCCCAAACAAAAGGTGCCTGGTGGCAAACCTAAATCATCAGAACCAAAATAGGCTTAATTACTCTAATAATAGCAAAGTCTGAGTAGCAAGTGATGGAGTTTCTGACCCTCGGAGAGCTATGAAGATTAAGAGAACATGAGTCTCTAAGAGCAAGAGAGATGGGCAGCATTGCAATCAATGGAATCAATTAAATGGGATGCTATTCAAAAATAAAGACTGATGCACTAACAATATGTGTAAATCTCAAAATCATTGTACTTAATGAAAGAAGCCAGACAAGAAAGAGTATGCCATATGATACACAACAGATGACTAAAATCCTGAGAGCACTTCCCAACAAAAAGTCATGATCTCTTCCCTGTTTCAGAACTTGAGACCCTTTCAGATTCAGAACCCAATGACTGAATAACAATGAGGATCTTGCATGAGAAAAACCCTATAACACAAGTGTTTACAATGATTCTCTCATACCTATCCCAAAGAGACTTGTGGCCATTTACTCAGATTACTGTATACAAGGGAAAGAGACAAGCCAAGGCATTTTGAGGAGTGTTGGTGGCAGAGTCTGTTTTGACATTAATACCTAAGAATTAATGCAGAATTAATTCAAAGGGGCATTATCAGTGGCCACCTTGTTGGGGAAAAGGGTTATGGTTGCCAGATAATACATGGGGTCCTTGCAAAGATCCCACTCACAGTAGGTCCACTGGTCCACTGGTTTCATGACCCATCACTGATTATTTCCCTGGTCACTAACTTTGTAGTTAGCACAACCCCCACACTGGTTTCTTAACCAGTGGTATAAGAGCTATGGAAGTACAGAAAGTCAAGTGGAAACCCTGAAACTATCCCTCTCATGCTGTCTCAGCCAATATAGTAAATTTTAAAAGAATACTGCATTGACAATATTGTACATAAAAGACAAATATTATAAATAATTGTAAAAATGTAAAAAAATTATAATATATTATAAATTAAAAACAATATTGCCTGGGATTATGGTAGACATTAAAGCCATCCTTAAAGACCCAAAAGTTGCAGGCACTGTGATCCCCATCACGTGCCTACTTAATTCACTGGTCTGACCCTATAAAAACCAGATATGTCTTTAAAAGGATGATACTGGACTCCTGCTCATCTATAAACTGATTTACCTTCCATAAAAATGCCATGAGTTAGTTACTAATATTATCCTCATTTTACAGTTGCACTGAAACATAGGTAACTTGCCCAAGGTCACAGAATTCAGTGGCAATGCTGGGGCTGGGAGGCACAAAAGCCTGTATTATTCATCATATTTTTATACTGCATTTCCATATAGGACTGTCCTTCGGCTATGAAGTGGCAGATTTCTGATGTGTGATCTGTCAACACACACAACACATGCACATGCACATAGAAGATAATTTATCATCCAGAGAAAGTGCTCACACAACTTTCTTTGTGGTTGATGCCAGTGCTTCACTTCTTTATGGTGGACCTAAATGGACACATACCACGAAGTTGTGTCCCTAATATTTTGTTTTGCTTTCAGATGAAATAAACATTTGGTCATCATATTCATGTTACTGGCTCCAGGTATCTTCCTGGAACTAGAATCATAACACCAGCTCTGATTGGATTCCAGGGTAATCTTAACTTGTAGCTGCTGCTACCAAGCTAGCTAATCCCCAGTAGTATTTGAGTCAGGAAACATCCTTTCCAACCATTTCCTCCAACCACTTCCTGTATAAAACCAAAGTTCATGCCTGTAATCCCAGCACTTTAGGAAGCTGAGGCAGGCGGATCACGAGGTCAGGAGATCAAGGCCATCCAGGCTAACACGGTGAAACCTCGTCTCTATTAAAAATACAGAAAATTAGCCGGTGTGGTGGCACGCGCCTGTAGTCCCAGCTACTCGGGAGGCTGAGACAGGGGAATCACTTGAACCCAGGAGGTGGAGATTGCAGTGAGCCGAGATTGCACCATTGCACTCCAGCTTGGACGACAGAGCGAGACTCCCTCTCAAAAAAAAAACAAAACAAAACAGTTCAGGGTCAAACTGCCCTCTTGTGGTGAAATATTGCTATCTGGTCTTCAACACTTGCCCTTTGCATGTAAGTTTTCGATCCGCCTGGCATTTTATTTTATTTTATTTTATTTATTTTATTTTATTTTATTTTATTTTATTTTATTTATTTTATTTTATTTTTGAGACAGAGTCTCGCTGTCACCCAGGCTGGAGTACAGTAGCGCGATCTCGGCTCACTGCAAGCTCCGCCTCCCGGGTTCACGCCATTCTCTTGTCTCAGCTTTCCGAGTAGCTGGGACTACAGGCATGCACCACCACGACCGGCTAATTCTGTGCTTTTAGTAGAGACGGGTTTTCTCCATGTTGGTCAGGCTGGTCTAGAACTCCCGACCTCAGGTGATCTGCCTGCCTCGGCTTCCCAAAGTGCTGGGATTACAGGTGTGAGTCACTGAGCCTGACCGGCATTGATTTTTTAATTTTTTTTCCCCACCCCACTCCCTACCCCGCTCTGTCGCCCAGGCTGGATGGAGTGCCAGTGGCGCCATCTCAGCTCACGGCAGCCTCTGCCTCCCGGGTTCAAGCGACTTTCCTGCCTCAGCCTCCTGAGTAGCTTAGATTACAGGCACGTGCCACCACATCCGGCTAATTTTTGTACTTTTAGTAGACATGGGTTTCACCATCTTGGTCAGGCTGGTCTCGAACTCCTGACCTCATGATCCGCCCGCCTCGGTCTCCCAAAGTGCTGGTATTTTTAAAATATTTTTATAACAGTTTTATTGAGATTTTATTCACATACCATGCTTTAAAAATATGCAATTCAGTGGTTCTTAGTATATTCACAGAGTTGTGCAACCATCACATCTAATTCCAGAACATTTTGATCACTCCTCCCAACTCCACAGGCATTGACTTTAATGTAATGGCATATACATATATACAAATACATATATAAACCAATTATTCTAGCACCATTTCCATTCTTTCCCCAGGGACTGCAACCTCATCTCTCATAAATTAACTTTTCATGTCTGTGTGAATTTGGTTTCGATCTATTTAGAGACTGGTGTACAGTATTTGTCTATTCCTGCACAAATTATTAAAGCAAGCTTTGCCATTCTGTTATCCTTCCTCATGACTATCTTGATTACTATTGGCCCTAACTCATCAAGTTCCGCAGAAATCCCAACTGGAATCTTAGTTAAAATTGTGTCATCTGTGGAGCAGTTGAAGAAAACTGACACATTTACAATACTGACTCTGTTCCACAAAGATGGTATCACTTTCTACTTATTTTGTTTAAAAATGTTTTAAATGAAGTTTTATAATTTTTTGTTATATGCATCCCTAGATATTTTACATTTTTGTTATATTCGTTGTATTCCTGAATCCTTATTATTTAATGTCACTGAAAATGTGCTTAAAAAAAAAACACCTGCTTTTCTTGCCATTTGTTGCTGGTATGTTACATATTGGTTTTATGTCCAACGACCTTCCCAAAACCTATCCATGGAATCTTCTTGATTTTCTATGTAATTATATCATCTTTAAGTAATGAGAGTTTTGTTTCCTTTTTCTCTTGCAATTTTTATCTCTTTCATGCTTAGATGTGTCGGTGAGAATCACCACCTCAAAGGTGAGTAGATGTGGTGGTCTTAATAGGAAGCTCTGTCTTATTCCCAAGCTGAAAGGGAACAAATTTGACCTTCCAGTAAGATGGTTACTATAGTTTTGTATATACCCTTTATATTTTAAAAATTCTTTGCTGTTTCTCTTTTGTCAAGAGCTTTTTCATAAATGGATTTTGAATTTTATCAAATGCTTCTCGCAAATCAAGATAGACGATCACACTGATTCTGATTTTGATCTGTTAGAATGGCAAATTACATTACTATATTTGATCAAATCAAAGATTCTATCAATTTTAAAACACATCATTATTTTATGTTTCAGCAAGGAAGAAAATAAAACAGTTGCCCTTTGAATATTCCAATTTACAATGTTTTTTAAAAGGGCATCTCTAAATTGACAAAAATACAAAAACTACATTTTCTAAAGATAGAACTGCCATGCATTCCTGAGATTAAACACACATTTATTGGGATATATGTAATTTTTAATACCCACTGTCTCTAATTTGCTATTTTTCCATGTTTAAGAGTGAGACCTGGTTGTTATTTTTAATTTTTGTACTGATACTATAAAATTTTGGCAAGAGTTTTATACTTTCTATATAAAACTGGAATTCAAAGGAACATGGCATATTTAGCAAAACTCACTCACTAACTCACTATTCTCATTAATAAAACTCTCTAGGCTTGGTAGCTAGAAAGTTTTATTACTGCCTTTTGTTTTTGTTTTGAGACAGGGTCTGTCGACAAGTCTGTCACCAGGCTGGTGTGTGGTGTCACGATCATGGCTAGCTGCAGCCTGTACCTCCCAGGCTCAAGCGATCCTCCCAACTGAGTAGCTGGAACTTCAGACATGCACTACCACACTGGGCTAATTAAGCGTTTTGACAGCTGGGCACAGTGGCTCATGCCTGTAATCCCAACACTTTGGAAGGCCGGGGGCAAGCAGATCACCTAAGGTCAGGAGTTCAAGACTAGCCTGGTCAACATGGTGAAACTCTGTCTCTACTAAAAATATAAAAATTAGCCAGGCGTGGTGACTGGTGCCTGTAATCCCAGCTACTCAGGAGGCTGAGGCATGAGAATCGCTTGAACCCAGGAGACGGAGGTTGCAGTGAGCCAAGATCACGCCATGCACTCCAGCCTGGGAGACAAGAGTGAAACTCCGTCTCCAAAAAAAAGTTTTGACCATTGAGTCAAATCAGGTGTGGTGGCTCATGCATGTAATCCCAGCACTTTGGGAGGTCGAAATGGGCAGATTGGTCGAGCCCAGGAGTTTGAGATCAGCCTGGGCAACATTGCAAAACTCCATCTCTACTAAAAATACAAAAATTAGCTGGTGGAATAAGCCTGCCATCCCAGCTACTTGGGAGGCTGAGGTGGGAGGATAGCTTGAGCCCAGGTCAAGGCTGCAATGAACTGTGATTGTGCCACTACACTGCAGCCTGGAAGACAAGAGTGAGACCTTGTTTAGCAATTTAAATTTATTTATTAAATTATGTATTAAACTTTTTTTTTTGAGATAGAGTTTCACCTTTGTTGCCCAGGCTGGAATGCTCGGCTCGCTGCAACCTCCTCCTCCCAGGTTCAAGCGATTCTCCTGCTTTAGCCTCTCAAGTAGCCAGGACTATAGGCGCCCACCAACACGCCTGGCTAATTTTTTCTATTTTTAGTAGAGATGGGGTTTCACCATGCTGGTCTTGAACACCTGACCTCAGGTGATCCACCCGCCTCAGCCTCCCAAAGTGCTGGGATTACAGGCGTGAGTCACCGCGTTAGCCAAATTTAAACTTTTTTTGAAGTTTAAAGGATTAAGTTTGAAGGATTTAAAGGACAATTTAAATTTTAAATAATTCAATCAATAGTCAAAACTCTCTTTTTTTTGACCATACTCTTTTTGAATCTCAACTTTGGGCTTTGTTTATTCTATGGTATGGTTGTTTTCTTAATTTCTGCTGTTATCTTTATTGTTTCTTTCTCTTTCAGTTGGACACTTACCTTGCTAATTTTCAGCTTTTTATCCTAATATATGCAAGAAAGGTAATACTTGCATTTTCTCCTACATGCTGTCTTGACCGAATACCACAAGTTTCTATGTATAGTTTGTTTTCATTACGTTCTGAATTATGCTCTGATCTTTCTCATTTCTTCTTTTGACTCCTGAGTTATATCTTAGTATTGGATTTTTAACTCTTCACCTTTATTAATTTTATCCTGAATTGCACACAAGGTGATCTGAAACAGATTTCTTACCTCACAGTAAATGAGTGCCTCTGCTCTCTTTGCCCTAGCCTTACCCCTGGGGCTATCAATGAGAGTCTATGAGATTTTTTTCCTACCCAAGTGAATGAGGTCAAGCAAAACAAACAAAAATCCAGACTAGGTACAGAATGACTATATTTGAAATGATTATTAAAATAGCGCTATGCTCTGAATGCTTGTGTCCCTCCCAACCCCACAAATCTGTATGTTGAAATCCTAACATATGAACGATGATGGGTCAAGCCTTTGAAAAGTGACTAGGTCAAGAAGGTGAAGGCCTCATGAGTGGGAATGGTACCTCTAAAGAGGCCCAAGAGTTTCCTTTGCTTCTTCTACCATGTGAGGACAGTGAGAAGGTGCCCACCAGACATGAAATCTGCCAGTACTTTGATCTTTGACTTCCCAGGCTTCAGAACCACGGGAAATAAATTTCTATTGTCTATAAGCTATTGGCTTATGGTATTTTGCTATATATAGCAGCCCCAATGGATGAATACAAACAGGGAGAGAGGAACTATTGCAATAGGGTCAGGGAGACTATTGCAATAAGGAGAATGCTTCAAAGGTAAGATCTGCAAGCATCTCAAAGATGAGATACAAACAGGTTTTTCTCTTTTTCTCTTACAGGGAGGAATAAACAGGCTAGAAAAAAACTAGTGTGGAGGAGAGGAGCAGGTGACATTAATGGGACAGTTGAACAGGAAATGTCCTTCCGGGTGGCTAGCCAATTTTCAGGAGGGGCGGTTAAGGGGGGACTATTCCACAGTCCAGTGCTGGCTCAGGCTGAGGGTGGATCAAAGTCCAGCGGTTTACCGGGAAGGGAGAAGCATAAAATTGGGTCAAGTTAAAGGGCATTTTGTTCAGATTAGTCTATGAGGAGAAATAGTTCAACTAATTATTCTGAGGCAAAGAATAGGATTTGGAGGGTCTGAGTCTGGCTTAATCATAGGTAAATGAAGGGGTTATTCACAGTTCTAGTGGTTCTTTGCAATAAGCCATTTCCTGAAATGTAACAAGAGGGAGAGATTTCTTAACTATCACTGTTTTCCAGGAGCACAGGGCTCAAGTAAAGGTTAATACTGTAGTCAGAGGCCAGGTACCACATAAGCAGGAGACAGGGAGACAGGTTGGGGACCATTTTACATGTCATACTACTACCTCTCTACATTTAGCATGTCCTCAATGGGACTATTCTCACTGGCATTTGTGTTTAGGGGAATAATAATTATATCTATTCCAGCAACACATCTGAAGTATAAGCCATGATCACAATGCATCAAGTCAACCTGAAGGGTCTTAGCTACCAAGTAATATTCATCTCCCTACCTCACTGGTTACCTTGCCCAGCCGCCAAGTTGAATTCAGGTGCCCCTTCTCCTTACTGGACGAGTTATGATAGTAATTTAGGCACCCGTATTAAGAAACCATGAAGCTTTTCGTTCCTCCTTTCCCATAGGCTTCCAGAAAATTTCAGCAGGGGTATAGAGTCTGTGGTCCTTCAAGAATAGAGAGAATATGGCTTAAACCTAAGGATATTTCTACTTTAAACAACATAGATATGGGTAAAAGAAGAAAGAGGGACCTGGGAATGCAAGACACAAACATCGTTTTTGGTCCTCTCGAAGCTGGGTACCAGGCAGTAAGGTCATTGCTGATAAATCCATTTTGGCTTTGAGAACCCCCTAATCCAATAGTCGCATCACACAGTTTTCCAAGTGGGGCCAAGGGGTGTGTATGTCTTGGGTGACCTGGACTTAACTGGCACTACAATAACCTTGTTAGCAATAATGGCTTTAGAGTGATGTGGTTAGTGAATTTTTTTTTATTCTCCTTCTTTCATTCTTTCACTTCCCTAACTCTTCCCGTATTTTGTGTAAATGCTAATTCCTTGATCAAATTCCTTATTCCTGCAATGTTTGTAGGAGCATTATTTCTCATGGCTACATTGCATTAAGTCTACCTCATATTGACAAGTTTTGCTACCAGAAGTGGTAGCGGAGACACAGAATCTTAGGGATGGAAATCTGGAATTTGTTCTCTGATCTGACTGATCAAAAGGCAATAATGTTTCCATTGCCAAGGTAATTGACAGTCTATGGTAATAGTTACTTATCACTTGTAGTCACTTGGTTTGTTAACTAATGCCTAGACACAGGATTTACTTATACTAAATCAAAGTGAAATGCCAGAATATCCTTCCTTGGTATACAGGGAATGGTATCAAGGAATGGTATCAAGGGGTGAAATTACACATAACTTACTCACTCACATCCTATCTTCTCTGGAAGGACCCAGAGGACACTCTCTTCATTAAGGCTTAAAAAAAAAATCATTGGCAGGGTGTACTATTCTTGAAAAGCTCTAATGGCTATTATCACAGGTCAGGAGTGATAAAGGATACGCCCATTGAAATTGGCTTCTGGCCAGGGGCAGTGGCTCATGGCTGTAATCCCAGCACTTTGGGAGGCCGAGGTGGGTGGATCACCTGAGGTCGGGAGTTAGAGACCAGCCTGATAAATATGGAGAAACCTCGTCTCTACTAAAAATACAAAATTAGCCAGGCATGGTGGTGCATGCCTATAATCCCAGCTATTCGGGAGGCTGAGGCAGGAGAATTGCTTGAACCCGGGAAGCGGAGGTTGCGGGAAGCCAAGATTGTGCCATTGTACTCCAGCCTGGGCAACAAGAGTGAAACTCCATCTCAAAAAAAGAAATTGGCTCCTTAAATTCAATGGAGATGATGGGAGTTAGGATGTAGTTAAAGCACAAGCGGAAAGATTTAACATCCAGAAACAAAGAGTTTGGTTACCATATCCGGCAGCAGAGCAAAATGGTAATCAAAATGGTTTCACCCACAAAAATCTTTAGGGTTAACTGACAGTGGTGCCTAGAACTGAAATAGAGAAGCAGGATATTAAACTTTTATTAATTTACATATGAAAAAAGCAAACTGTAGGTCGTGAATAAATTTCTATCTTTAATTACAAGCCACAGCTTCTTATCCAGTTTTTAGATTTAAATCAGCTTAGATCATTGACATTTAATTATTGCTGTATTAATGAAATAAAATAAAATTTAGGTTTACTATTGTTTTATTCTGTTTCTTGTTCCTGGGTTACCTGAATCTTTTTTAGTATTCCACCTTAATGTACTGATGCTTTTGAAAATAATCTGTGTAGGTTTTTAGGGAAAAATCTGTGTTGCTCTAGGGATGATACAAATACTTAATTTCTTATAGTCTACTGTATAGTATCAATATCTTGAGGTCAGGAGTTTGACATTAGCCTGGGCAACAGAGTGAGACCCCATCTCTTAAAAAAAAAAAAAAAAAAGAAAGAAAAAAATTAGCTGGACGTGGCAGTACATGCCTGTAGTCCCAGTTACTGAAGAGGCTGAAGTGGGTAAATCACCTGAAACTAGGTTGAAGCTGCAGTGAGTCATGATCACAGCACTGCACTTCAGCTTGGGTGACAGAGAATTCAACTTAAAAAAACAAACCTGTATATGCTCTACAGAGAATCACATAAAACAATGTTAATTTTTTTCTTTCAATTAACAAATGTAATTTTTAAAACCTCAAGAGAAGTCTGTTATTTTTACCCTACACATTGTGCCTTCTTTATTCCCGCCATTCTAAGTTTCCTTCTGCTATAATTTCCCTTCTAGAAAGAAGGGAAATCTTTTTAGCAGCTTTTTTTTTAGAATTGTTTTTAGAAAAAAACTTCCCTTGACAATTCTTTTAGAGCAGGTTGACTAGTGATAAATCCTGTTAGTTCTCCTTCATTTGAAAAATATCTTGACCTTTTCTTTTTATTTGTACCTTTTTGACTCCTTTATAACACTTAGGTACTTTGAAAAAGTTTTCTGATCAAATCTTCTCTCCCCCCAAAACTATAATGAAGAGTACAGATTTATGCCAAATGTCTGTGATAGCAAAGTGTTTTTAATAAACATCAATGAAAATACACATAGTTAAAAGTTCAAAAAATTTCTATGACTAGCCAATAAATTGCTGCAACTTTTACAGCTAATGCTGGTGTTCCTGAAATTTGAAACATAGTACTTTTCAAGAACTGTGGACAAGTTTGATTACCACAAAAATAACAGGCAGAGTGTTCTATTTTTTTTTTTTTTCTCCTGAAACTTAAACTCTGAATAGCAACAGATTGCAGCAAATGTAGCTCAGAATATTCTGAAAAATACAGCCCCAGGAGACGGCCAGTTAAAATGTGGACCACATTTCAATTCCACCTTTCCAGTGGAGATAATCAGTAGACTCAAAGAGATCCAAGGGTTGGATGAGTAACCATAGTTGAAAATGTTGACACAAAGTATTATTTGGCAATAATAAACTGAGGTGAAATGGTGCCAAGTAACTGATGTAGTGGAAGTTATGTTCTGGTCTGACTAGAATACAGCAATAAAAGTTGAGAGGTTAATAAGGGTAAAAGACAGAACCTTCAGATAAATGAAGAGAATGAGAAAGAATTGATTCAAAAAACATACTTCATTGTGATGACAAGCAAATTAAGGAGAAGGATGAAAAAAAGCAAGGTGAAAAGAAATAGGAAAAATAGTTCAGGCTGTAGAAAAATTTTTTCACAACAGCAAGGAAATTCTCTTGACAGAGAAATTTCTTGGTAAAATAAACATGGAGATGAACTAGAACAGGTATGAGGTTCTGGAAGAAGAAACATTTGCATAAATGTGACTTTCTTATCCAGCCACACTAACTCTATTTCTTAAGAGCAATACAATTTCCAAAACTTTCTTGTTCAAAGCTCAGATTTACACAATGCCACTTCTAAGACGCAGGACACTAGCCTAAACTAAAATGCTCCTTACGTCTGTTCTTACTGTCTTCTCCTCTGGCTTTAGAGATGTTTTCATTTGCAAAAGTACTGGCCAATACAACAAAATAAAGACATAAATTAAGCCATAATAGAATTTTACATATGTTTCCTTATATTATGTTCATTAATGCATTACCTGCCGTAATAATTTCACTCAGTTAAAAAATGAGTATGATGGTTTAAAGCTGGTTCAGTCATGATTTTATAAGCTTATTTATCAAGAGTGAAAATAGAAGACTATTAAAAATAGCTAAAAAGGTAACGTGTCATAGTGTTTAATGTTTCTGTAATTGTTGATAAGGCTTGTATCTAAGTCTGATGCAGAATTATTAATGGCACTCAAATAGTTCTTTTCTCAGCCACATAGTATCCACTGGTGCTATGAATCTGGAAGAGACTGGCTATGGCTACCACTTCTTGTCTTCAGTTGTGACTGTGCAATATCAGCAAGTGCGCTTTGTATCTTTTCCAGAAGCATGTCTCCTCGATAAACAACATCCTCCAGACATGTAGCAGCTTCATGGTTTTCTTCTTCTAGCTTATATAAGCTAGCAGCCTTTGTAAAACACAAATTTTAAAATCTTTAGAGTTTAGAAGGAGAGAAGCTGTCGCAGATGTACTTATTTTTAAATCTGGATGACTTTGCAATCATTGTGATATATTTTTCAGTAAAAAAATTCTAAAAATCAGATAACTTTTAAGAATTTTCCCCATGTGAATTATTAAAAAGAATGACTTTTCAATTAGAGATCTCTAGATATCTGTAAGTAACTCCCTTCCACACTACGTTTGGACACCATTATTCTACTCCACATCTAGAATGCCACCCTCCTCTCATTCTTCACTAGGAAAAGAGACAAAATTGAGGAAAATAAGAGGTTTTCTTATCAGGGAAAATTGAATATTATCACAAAAGGTACTACGATTTGAATGTGTCCCCTCCAAAATTCATACATTAAAATCTAATCCCCAATGTGATGGTACTAAGAGGGGGAGGGGCCTTTAAGAGGATATTAAGTCATGAAGGCAGAGCTCTCATAGATGGAATTAGTACCCTTAAAATATGGCTTGAGGTTGAAGAGGGAGCTCTTGCTCTTCTGCCCTTCTGCCTTCAGCCATGTGAGGAAACAGGAAGAAGGTCCTCAACATGGTCCTAAACATGGTACCATGTTTAATAAAAATTCATTACTCATGCACAATGAGTAATAAATGTCTTGATCTTGGACTTCCCAGACTCCAGAACTGTGAGAAAATTAATTTTTGTTCTTTATAAATTACTGTCTCAAGTATGTTGTTATAGCAGCACAAATGGACACAGACAAAAGGTATTAAATCTACCTCCTTTAATTCAAAATTCTCTATTACTGGTAAAATTCTCAAAGGAATAGAGGCTTACCTGTAAAGCAGCTGTAGATTCTTCACTGGGTAAGGAATCTATCAAAACATCAATGTCTTTTGCTGTTCGGGCAATCAGTGCTGCAAAAAGCTGGGCATACTCTAGAGATAAAGATACTGCTAGATTAGGATATTAGAAAATCTCAAGTTTTCAGAAACAAATTTTAAGTTCATGAAACCAGAAACTTCATATAGCTTTTTCTGTCCTAAGATTCTAATGATTCGGCCAGGCATGGTGGCTCACACCTGTAATCCCGGGACTTTGGGAGGCCAAGGTGGGCGGATCACAAGGTCAGGAGTTTGAGACCAGCCTGACCAACATGGTGAAATCCCATCTCTACTAAAAATACAAAAATTAGCCAGGCATGGTGGCATGTGCCTGTAATCCCACCTACTCAGGAGGCTGAGGCAGGAGAATCCCTTGAACCTGGGAGGAAAAAGTTGCAGTGAGCCAAGACTGCATCACTGTGCTCCAGCCTGGGTGACAAAGCGAAACTCCGTCTCAAAAAAAAGATTCTAATGAGTCTAATGATTAAATACACACCAATCCTGTTATACATTTAGCTCAAATTGGGAATTAAGCATAATGTATGTCATTTCATTTATCATGACAATATAGTGGTCACTTGAATAAAGAAATTTATAAATGAGATGCCTTCCTTGTTAAGGTCCCTCACTCAGCTAAATTAATACAAATTCTCCTCTAAAGGAGTAACAATCTATTATCTGACATGAACCAGAATTATGAGATGTTAGGTGAATTGACTAAGTTTTTTACAACAAACAAAACTTGCAATATCCTCAAGTAACAATATTTTTAGAAACAAAATAAGCTGAATTTCTCAAGAAATCTAATTTTAAAGGATAACAAAAAATGTGAGAGTCAAAATAAGAGAAGCTAAGAAAATCTGTTTACCTTCTGTAGGGTTAGCAGGCTGGTCTTTGTTAATTGCTGTCTGAATATTACTGAAAGAGGCAGGAGGACCACATTGCTGCAATACTCCAATGGCATTACAAAACTGATCTGCAAGCTTAGGCCAAAGAAAACACGTCGAGGTTAGAAAGGACTTATCAGTTTTAAGGACTTTATTGGTAACAGCAACAACAGTAAGTTTCTGTAATGATAATCTCTGAGCAAGGGAATAAAACAGAAAGGAGTAATTGTTGATAAACTAGCCAGTTGATTACATGTTTTAATTCTGCAAAGAAACTAAGTTTGGTATCAATCTAGGTGAAGTTAAATTTGA